CATCCCTACCTCCGAGAGGTGCCCAGCATACTTTCGAACATGTATTCGCAATCAAATGTTTCCTTTTGCAATCACTAGGAACATTTTTCTTTCTTTGCTGAAGGAAAGCAGCACACAGACAGAAACACCCATCTGTGACATGGGGATATTAGCTACCTCTTAGGGTTTTGTAAGGCGTACACAGACAACGGAAGTGACATGCTGTGAACATCAAAGCACAGTATGTAACAGAAGGGGTATTGCTGAATGTAAGAGACGCATTTTTGGGGAGTGTCGCTCTTCTCTGTGTGCTGATCCCTTCTCCTGCCCAGGAATGCGTGGACCCTGCCGTGCCCTGGCAGTCATTATTCTGTATTCCATGACAAGCTCTTGCATCGTCAACACACCTTTGGCGATCCAGAGCATGTGTTCCTTTAAAGAGAGGGTGTCTTTAAATCAATTTAGAGGCCATCCAATCTGAGTTGGATCCCTAGCACATGTTGGGGGAGGGGCATTAACCCTCCCCCCCCCAGCAGTAGCCCCAATCTGGGTAGGGGGCCCCATGCCCGTAATTTTTCATTGCCAAAGGGTGATCCATTACCTTTCCCTGGAGCAGTGTGTTCAGTTCTGGGCATCCGAGTTGCAAAGGGATGCTGCCAAACCGGGATGGTCAGCAAGAAGTTAGCGGACCTTAGAGCCCAAGTCCTCGGAGAAAAGGTTGGAGGGCTCTGGAGAAGAGACAAGATATGATAGCCAGCTTCAAATGTTTGAAGTGCTGTCGCACGGGGGGGTGGACCAAATTGGTTTTCTGATGCACCGGAGAGTAGCACCTAAGGGGTACTGATGGCAAGGAAAACGCTTTAGATGAAAGATTAAGAGGAACTCCCTGACAGTTCAACAAGGTTGCTTTGACACGTCTTCCATGCATTAGAGGTTTTGAGTGGGGGCCAGAGGGTATTTTGCCAGGGACATGGTAGCGTGGACTTCCTACCGTAGCCAAAAAGGCAAGGTCCTTCCAACTTTATGCTTCCAGGTTGGGATGAGAAATATCTGAGGCTCTGCAAGGCTAAATTTCTCCCCCCACCCCTAAACGCTCAAAGAACCACACTCCTTGCCAAATTTGTCGCCAACATTTTGTGGGATGGGCAGCAGAGAAGCATTGATTTCTCCAAGGCAGGCATTGTAGGAGCAGGTGCTGCATTTTAAAGCAAAATTGTGTTCCTGGTCGCCTGCTAGGAGCATGATTATGCTTGAAAAAAGGTGACTTATTTTAAAGAGAAACTAGTCCTTTTTTCCCACTGTGCTGCTGGGTTTCAGTGTGGTGAGGGTAGAAAGGCCACCCCCGCCCCCAGGCCAGGAGTGTGGCAGGGCTGTATGCAGCCAGTGGTTTGTCTGCCACCCAGCCTAGCTCCAGGTGCTACAGCTGCATGCTTAAGCTCTTCCTGTTGAATATCCGGCTGTGAATAACTGTAATGCCGCTTCTTTTAGTTCTCACAGACATCCCTTTAAATCCATCTGCAGCAGATACAGGGTGGGGCACAAGGCCCCTGACTGAAATCCCAGGAAATTAGAGAGTGGATACAGGGATTTTTAAAATTCCAATTTTACCCCCCCCCCCACACACACGCACATACACTGTTGTACAGTGAAAAAAATGCTGGACACATAATTAAAGGAATATCTCTTTTGGCCTTTGCTTGCTCTTGCTACAGAAGCAAACAGTTCTTCCACTTCTGTTTTTGCACTGGCTTAAAGAGAGCCCCCAGCTTCTCTTTGGGATCAGCAGCTTTGCTGGGGACCAAACATGAAGCCCCGGGGAGGGGTGTGGGCCCCCACACCTCCGGTTGCTGATCTCTACTACAGAAGTTAATGTTCGACAAGCTATAAAGCAAAACTATTCTCGGAGCCATTCATTGGGAGGACACGGTCCCAGTAGTGGAAAATGTTTTTGAATCAGGCTTCGGATGACTTTCCCCCTTGAGTCCAATTATTAGTTTCTAAGTTTTCATGGGGGAATAACCAGGCTAGTTAGCAACCGAGCTGACTTCTGACGGTGCATATGGGGCAAGCAAGAAGAGATCCGCCCCCCTCCCCCACAGAACTGGAGCTTGTGCTTCAAGGGTTGTGTTTGTGCTATTTCCAGGAATGCAGTCAGGAATGCTTTCCAAGCTGGAGTTGGATGGCTGCCTGGCAGCCTCCTGTTCGTCTTCCAGTGGATGGGAAAGAAAAAGGGAGATGTGCCCCGAGACAGGCACTCCCTTGGATGACCTGCCACAGATAATTCAGCAGGATGCAGGACATCCCTGGTTCTGGCACCATTTTCTGGGATACATGCCACCTGGATCCGTCGTTCTTCCAGCTACATCACCCTGAGCTATTTGAAGGTCTCCTCTCTTGAAGGGACTCCCCCCCCCACTCCACCCCCCCCCATGTCTTGCTGCTCCTCCTGGGAAATTTTTGACTTAACCCCTCGGCCTTCAACCCCAGCTAAAGCAATCCCTCCTTTCTCTCACTGATATTTCCCTGCCTTCATCCCTCTTCTCCCCTTTCTAGATTTAGATTGTAACCTCTTTGGGGCAGAGACCTGTCACTTATCTTGAACTCCATGTACATGGATGGCACAGTTATTCGTGCACAACATACAAGCATTTATCTAAAACAACAACAACAATTCCAGCTGTGCTTAAGCGTCTGCATGTCTAAGTTTCTTACCAGCCCTTCCCTTTAACCAACCAGCTCCCCCTTTTCCCTTCTCTTTCCTTTTGCTGAATTGGCTGCATTGCACCTGTGCTCTCATTCAGAACAAACCCTTTAAAATGTATTTTAAGAGAAGCTAAACTCGGGTCCTCCACCATTCCTTCTTTTTGCTTCTCTCTCTTATCTCCTGGTGTGTATGCACTTTTTTCAGGACAGTGCATCCAATTTATCTGGGTATGTATGGGTGCAATTTAATCTATTCTTTGTTAATTTTAGAATTAAAAGGCCTAAAGGTCCTGCAGGAAGCAGGTTGCATCCATTCTAATTCTTTTTTAAAACATCTGAATTTTATTTACAGATATAGCAGAAAGAAAAGTGTGGGGGGACAGCATAAAGAAAAAAAAGAGCATAACAGAAATGCAGATAAATTCACAATAATAATCCACAACTCCATTAATATTTTTCTTATTTATGATCTAAATAAATATCCAGATCATATTTGGATTCTGAAAAGCAACCAAACAAAATAGATGAATTGTTATTATTTAGTACTGTTGGTTTTGCATGTGTTTACTCAAAAACCTGTTTTATGCAGGAGGGTTCAAACCAAAAATTCACAAGAACGTGCAAATTTATATGGTAAAATATGTACTTTCATATGCATTTTGTGGTAACATGTGTATTTCAATATGAATTTTATTCTATGCTACCTACAGGTATTTATTCTTTTCTTGGTGCATTTTAAAGCCAAAACTTGCATTGCAAAAATCAGAGAAGTGCAGGATTGTCAGCAGAGCTGTGTTCCTTTGCCAGTTCAGGAGGTGCAAACCAAGTTGGTTTGCTTACAGACACAGAGTGAGGATAATTCTGCCACATCTCTATTTAGTCATCCTAACAGCTTAATATATATTATATGATTGTCATGCTTGCCTGTTTCTCAGCCACTTTTCACAACTATAATGTATTTCTTGTAGTAACTTGCCAGAGAGCCAGTGTGCTATAGCTGTTAAGGGGGCAGGGCTGGGACTCATGTGATCTGGGTTCGAGTCCCCACTCAGCCATGGAGCCAACCGGGTGACTTTGGGCCAGTCACAGACTCGCCACCCAACCTCCCTCACAGGGCCGTTGTGGGGATAAGATAGAGAGCAGCAGGAGGCGAGTGATATAAACCACTTTGAAAAAGAAAAAAGCGGAATATAAATCTGATAAATAAACCCTCTTTTAGCTCAAGGGCCCAATTCCTTTGTGGAGAATGTGGCGGGGTGGGGCTTCCATGGGTGGGTGGAAGTGAAGGCAAAAGGTGGGGTGAAAGCAACTAACGAGTTTCGAAAAGAGGGCCAAAATTTTGCTTAACTGCTGGCATCTAAGCCTTGGGACAGGGTTTCCACCTATTGAAACAGCATAAAAAGTGTACAGATGCCAGGCAGCTGGACGCTTGGTGATTGGGAGAACTGGGTTAAGGCCGAAGAAAGGAGCCCCCCAGGGATGCCGCTGGCCAGAGGCTTGGCATCCCCTGTGCAGAGGGCAGGGGACCTTCCATCTGAAGCAAACCAAACAGCAGGGAAAGTGAGCCCAGCCTTGAGGGAACCGGCGGCTATTTCCTTGGAAAGGAGCTTGCATTTAATTAATATAATCTGAGTGACTGATTCATTTAACACAGCCTTTGCCGTGTTTTGATTGCTGATTTCTCTTGCAGAGCTGTTCCATCCTGGTTGTTGAATTTCAGCTTAGGGCCTTTCCTGCAAACTTTCATCAGTTTGTGACCTGTGCAAGGCCAGAAAAAGGGCAAAATGGGAAAAAGCAGAAAGCCCCTGGCCACTGACCCTTTATTCTCACTTTCTTTCCCAAAACCAAGACCATCCCTGGAGGAAAGAGGGTTTCTCCTAATTTTCTCTGGAGGCCCCACTCTCCCTGCGGTTCATCACACCTCTACTTGTTATCCTGAGACATTTAGATTGAGATTTTCCCCCCCCGCCCCCCCCTTCCACAACCACACTCACACCTCGTGAGCACAGTGCATTTATATGCTGCCCTTTTCCCCTCTGTGGGGAACTCAAGGGGGGCTGCTTAGTTCTCCTCCTTTCTCTTGTATCCCTACAACAACAACCCTGTGAGCAGGGCTGGACCGAGAGTCAGTGGCTGGGCCGAAGTCACCCGACGGGCTTCAGGGCCAGGTACTGGGGAATGGTGAACCGGATGCGGGACAGGAAAGGCTGCGTTGCCAAGCGTGCAAAGGCAACGATTTGCAAGCTCATTTTTGAAGGTGGGGTGAGGTGGGGTGGGTTGGAACCATCTCAAGTTATTTCCTTAACTCACATTTTCACATTATTCAGTATGTTTATTATGTGCACTATTTTAACAAATTGTGTGTTCATGGCATGGTCGGAGCTGCCTTCTTGGAATAAATACGTCGAGTGAGTATGTTTTCAGATCTCCCATTTTACTCTGTCTTTGCATTTTATGGAGTCCGGCTCATTTAGGGAGGGTGGCTTAGAAGCAGCGTTTCAGGACAAGCAGAAAACCAGAACATTAAAGGGAGTGTTACGAGCAGAGCATGTACCAGAATGTTTGATTGATGTTTTGTCAGAGTGTATTCATAGAATATTATGGATTCAAATGTATCATAGTGCCACTGGGGTTATGGATTTTTTAAAGGCTTACTTCACCCCTAGAGAAAATGAAGTGGCAGTCATATCTCCTCAGCTGATGCTAAATCAGACTGCAGAAGTTTGGATGCCCAGTTGAGTGCTTTCCTATTTGCATGCGTGCTCTCTCTCTCTCTCTCTCTCTCTCTCTCTCTCTCTCCCCCCCCCCTGCGCATATAGAAAATTAATGAATCTGGAAAAAGAGTTTGTACACGGCCTTCTTGATCTGTTAGCTTTCTATGTGCGGGGACCTTTTCTATGGGAGTTGCTCACCTTTGCAGTCTCCCATGATGCTGTCCTGAGGAACACCTTGATCACCTCATAGCTATTTATGTGGACACAACTTAATACTATTTCCTATATGGGTGTTTTGGTTTTCAGCTTTTAAGACTGCATTTTGCATACTGTTTTGAGGTTAATTTATACTATTTTGGGAATATCAGTGTCATCTTAAAACCCTTCTGGCTGATTTACATCTGCTTCATTTCCTTCACATTAAAAAAATACTACCGGACTGCCCTTAATCTTATTTCTTTGGGCATCTCCTCTTCTGCCCTTCTTGTGCACACCTGTTCGAAGTGCACTTACTCATCCACAGGAAAGGACTCTGGACCAAACTACAGGTCACGTTCAATGCATAGCGAATGGTGGATTCTAACGCTGGTTCACTGGTCCCAATCCAGATCACGTGTGGGGGGAGGGTTAAGTATTCCCCCAACTACTTTCCCATTGGGCTCCCTAAAGAAAGACCCCCCCGCCACGAGGTGTCAGGGGATGGACTTCAGGGATGCAACTCCTTTGTTGAGAAGGGTTAACCACCACAGATGCAGAGTGGCCCTGATCCAGGTCAGGGGCTAACATGCCTACACGAAAGTTCAGAAGAAACAGGAGTAGCTATTTGCAGGGCATCTACCATGGTCTGGAATCTGGTCCCGAAGGGCTGATTGATGCCTCCAGGTGTGGGGTGAGTCAGCCTCACACAGCTGCAGGTGGGATTTGGGTTTCTTTGTGCATTCTGCATGGCCCTGGGGGGGGGGGGGGGGGGCTTGACCCAGAGAGGGCTGGGAATGCTTTCTCCTTCCCTCTTTTTCCCTGTCCAACCAGGGAAAAGCACACCACCCTTGCCTGAGGTCTCATTGCTTGCAGAGAACATTTGAAATGTGATGGAGCCACATCAAAGTGATGTAACTCCATGAACTGCCCTTTTTGATGCGTTTCCTAGTGAATGGACCTAGTTTTGGATACTCTGGAAAACCCCTTCATCTGATGCAGCAGCGTTTGCAAAACTGTCAGAGCTGAACTTGTTCTGCCCATCCTGTCTGAGTAAAGGCCCCTGGCCATGGTTCTCGCCCTGAGGCATGCCTAGCGCCCCCTAAGGGAGGGGTCTCTCTGCTCCCTTCCTCTGAAGGGGCTGCCGCACAGCAGGGGGTAGGGGAGGGCCATCCCTTGGCCTATAGATCTCTCCTGGTGCCCAACTGTATGGACTGCAAAGCAATGCGTCCGTCCGTTGGGGAAAGTTATCCCAGTGGTTGAATAGGCTATTGCAGGACATTATTGAATAGGCTATTGAATAGGCTATTGCAGGACAAAGTTGCATTAATTAAAACCAACAACTGCATTGCTAAGAATGAAGCAATACGGAGGCGCACAGCCCGAGGGTCTCCCTGGTCTACCTGCCACATTTCAGTGGTTTCGGCTTTGTGGTTTTGGCTCTGTGGTGCTGATGGACGGACGGACACGTGCATCCCCTGTTAGTACAGAACTTTCTGAAGCTTAGCTAAGCACATCTTCAGGAATGCAAGCAGCATTTTCGATGACATCTGATTTTTTTTCTTAAAAGCTACCTTCTCTGATTTTAAAGGAGTCTTTTCTTCTTTTTAAAAAAAGTGCAGCTAGTTTGCTCTTCTGCAAGTCCTTCCTTATGGAAATGGATACCAGATGCGAAAGCTTAATCTAAGTGCAGTGCATTAAACAATTAGCGTGGCTCATTGAGCCAACCAGAACACACTTTTTATTTTTGACTGACAGATGATAAACACAGCCATCTGCTCCTGGTGGCTGGCGCCGGAGGGAGAGATGACAAAATACCCCTGCTTTGAGTCAGGATCTTGTGGGACACGCAGGCCGTGACTTCCAGGAGGAGTGGAAATGCGGCTGGAAAATGCCAGTCCTTTTGCTCCCCTTTGAAATGTCTGCCCTATTAATAGTAGTGTTTTAACATCAGGTTGCGTGATTTGTACACAATCTCACCTAAATTCACGAAGAATAGTTCGAGAGTTGCGTGATGGTGCCTTGGCTGTATCCTTTCGGGATTACAGAGGATCTTCATTTAGGATTTTTGCTTCTTCAGCTCTCCCTCTGGAACATCAAACAGTTCCTTCAGTGGCTTCTTGGTCCTACCAGCTGTCTGATGCTGTGAGTTTGGGATACAACCAGTGGAAGTCAGCAGGGCCGGCCCTGCCGTTAGGTGTACCTAGAATGGGGAGGGCACCATCTGGCCCTTTGCCTCAGGCAGTATTTATTCAGTATGTTTCCACCCAGCCCTTTCCCTGCAGCTCTCTGGTAGGTTCACGAAGCTAGGGTGCCACCACTGAAAAGGCCCTCTCATTTGTAACCGCCTGCTCCGCATCATTCAGCAGAAAGACCTCTGGGGATGGTCTTAGGGCCCAGAGAGATTTAGATGGAGAGGTTCTTCCAGATAATTTTGCTCCGTGCCATTTAAGGAGAAGACAATCATACTGGGAAAAGTCAAAGGCAGAAGAAGCAAAGGAAGACCAAACATGAGATGCGCTCGCTCCATCAAGGAAGCCGCAGCCTTGAGTTGACAAGAGTGAAGCAGAGCTGTTTAGGACAGGATGTTTTGGAGTGGGAGGTTAATGATTAAGACTGGAATTCTGAAGCCACCCAAAGTTTCAGGACTGAGACTGCTGGAGGGAAAGCATAAAAGCCAGCTAAATATCCTCCAGTGTCTCCCCAGTTAAAATAGGTGCATGCATGTTACGGTTCTCAGCGCTGGTTTAGGAACGAAGCGGTGTAGGGCAATCCAGGAATCCAGTCCAACGAACAAGTCTGGACCAGATGACAACGGAGAAGCAGAGCTGAAGAACACAGGGGTTCGCCATATAAAGAGGCAGCCCCAGTATTGCCGGACACTGACTGGCAGAGGCTCCTGTGGGTTGCAGGAAGGACTTTTTCCAGCTTTACCTAGAGGTGCTGGGATCACACTTGGGATTTCTGACTCTAACCGATGGTTCCTCCCACCGAGCCAGAAGCTGAGTCTGAAAGAGGAACCAGGAGGCAGGACCCAAAACTGATCTGGGATACAGGAATGCTCCAGAGTTCAAGAAGACCCTGTTGCTCTCAGGCAGGCCTAGCTGAGCTGGAAATGCTTGCAGCGTGGGCAGCGGTCGGCACGGACCGGCCATTGCGTCCCGTGGCTGCTTTCCTCCACAGCAAGGGAACCTGGAAGCAGCCCGCTCCTGCCCCACGCTTCCCTAGGCAAGCCTTCAGGGGATTCCCAGGCTGCTTCCTATTTGCAGGATAGATCAGCTTCAAACACTCTGCCCGTTTCTGGGCCGTGTGGGAAGCAGTCGATTTTCCTGGCTGGGTTAAAAAGCAAGTAGAAAGTGCCAGTGGCCAAAATACTGACTTTGCAGCTCTGCAGTCAGAGAACTAGCCCTGCTTGTCCCTGGACATCCGCTACGGAAAGATATACTGCATGTGTTCATGGAGGTTCTGTATTTAGAATAGCTATTAGGGTTTATTGCCCCAAGTAGCCCCATCTGCCACAATTTTGCAGCCTCCTTTGGAAAATGCAGGCTGCAGTCACAACACATCAAGGGAGCAACTTCCATACAAGGGCACACGTTTTGCTTCCAGGCTGACAGCCATATTTGGGTCCGCGACAGCAGCGTATTCCAGCCCCCGGGAATGCCGAGCCTGTTTGCTCTCCTGGCCCATTTGCAGGGATCACGCTGAAACTCTGGAATATTTAAAAATGGGGAACCCAAAGCACCGCAAAACAATTCAAGTGGTAGCATCAAAGAGGGGCAGCTGGTTTCATGTGGGTGTGGAAGCAGCAGCAGTGTTAAAAAAGCCTTACTCTGGAGGGTGAATTTCTTCCTCATCTTCATTCAGAGCCTCCCACAAAACCCGATTCCCTTGTCATTTCCACCGTTCGTCACAGGAACATATTCGCAATTCAGCCTCTTAAAAATGTCAGACTCCTGCCTGGCAAACTGTGTGCAGATGGAGCCTGTACTCTGTTCAGAGGGGCACGTGCAGCCAACTCTGGAGTGTGTGTGTGAGTGTAAAACAATAAGAGTAGGAGGTAAACAGCACACTGCATGAAGAGCAGGATTCTATGCAAGTTTAGACAGAAAAAGGGTCTGCAGTTCCCAGCTGGGCCATGCTAGCCCATTGTCGGACTTCTGTCCATCTGAACTTGTGTAGGATGTATTTATTTATTTAAAGCTCTTATAAGTCGTTCAATTAGCAACCAGCTCTCAGAATGGTGTACAAGAATTAAAACAGGATTGCACTTTAAATGACTCTAACTTTTAGCTTAGGTGATTCTCATTATTTAAATTTCATTATGAATCTCCATGGGGCCAATCCAGATTGAGACCCTGACAAAAGGGGTGTGTGGAGAGCTTCCCAGCCAAGCCATTTCTCCCTCAGCTTTGCTTTCATCCCCACAAACACTCATTTACAATCAGATGTGGGTCATAAAAAGAGAAAACTCCATTGGTTCCAGTGCTTACATTAGAGCGAAAGAAGGGGAGGGCAGTTAGGATCAGCTTATGCAATGCATTTAAGATAGTGCATCCTGTACCCTTGAGACAGCATGTTACTAGTCCTCATGAATTGATCTAGCCATAGGGGCACCCCCGACTGGCTGGATTGTGTCTAAACAAACCTAGGGCTGTCCCCCAATGACCTGCAGCAGTGTGTAAACTGTGTCTACCAGAAAGGGTTGTGGTTTGAGGCTTTCTGCCTATATGATGCCAGAAAACCCTTTCAACAGTGAAACTCTTCACTGGATGTTGGGTGGTGAATTGGCCTGTGTAAATCACATGTAAGTTTCCACCAGTCTTTACTCATCTCACTTTTTCTTGAAATGTTGACCCCTTGCAGGTACACTTTCACTGGCATTTACACCTTTGAATCATTGATAAAAATACTGGCAAGGGGATTTTGTATGACAGAATTCACCTTTCTCCGAGATCCATGGAACTGGCTGGATTTTTGTGTTATTGTCATGGCGTAAGTATTACTACTACTACATTTCATTTATATCCTGTTTTTCCCTCTTGTGAGGAACCCAAATTGGCTTGAATAGTTTGAACTCTCGATTTTGTAATGTTACAAGAAGGATCCTATGATGTAAGTGAGTAGGTTTCTTATTGGAATGGTATCCAGTAACTCATCCTTTCTAGATGTGTTAGACTACAACTCCCAGCATCCCCCAACCAGCATGGAGGTGCCAGAAGTTGTAGTGCAAAATATCGGAGGTCACCAGCTTGGGGAAGGGTTCAGGACCTGGTGTAGCCCTGGTGCAACGCGATAAAAATTCTGTTCAACTTTTCGTCAGGCCAAAGACTGACCCAGTTACTAGCTCTGGGCCACCTGGCCTAGTACACGGATCCCGAAAACCATTCTCCTGGTCGGGTCCTCGCACAGCCTGCAGTTCTCCACCTGCTTTGCTCACGTGCCTCCGTTGCATGCAAGGAGGGCTTATTTGTTCGGATTGTGCCAAAGTGTCTCCCACATTTTTCCAACCGTTTTCATTCCATCCGATAGCAAAGAAACTGGCCTTGAAGCAGAACCACAGAGGCCTCTTTCATGGGGGAAGGAAACTTCTGGGGACTCGGAGGACAGATGCTGGCTTCGCACTAGCCCCACTTCTTCCCTGGGCACCCGGCTGGGCTCCAAGCTTCCCACTTCACACCTGCATTGTGCGAAAGAGGGCAGAGCTGCCAGCTCTCCTGATGTTGCTTCAGCCTCCAAGTCCCCAAACCCTGACGTAAAAAGAAAGCCACCATGTGACAGGCCCTGCCCACGGCGAGGGCCACGTGTGCGAAACCGTGGAGGTCTTCTCCTTTCCCGGGAGAAATTCTGTGAAACTGCTCCCCGAGTTTCTCAGCCCACAAATGGGCGGGATGATTTCCAGAGGTCAGGTGCACAGAAAGTTAATGTCTGTAAAGCCAATAGGTTTCTCCTCATTGGAGAATCCTCAAAATTGCAGTTCCAAGAGGCTCACAACCCCTGCCTAAACCTTGCACAAGACTGTCTGGCACATGGGGACCAGCAGGGCTTCCATCCATCGCCTTTTCCCATTGTGCGTTACATGTGAGTAGACCTGTTCCTGCACTGAAGCGCTAATTCCCAGGATTTGTGAAGTGGGAGCTGCAGAAGGGAAGCCAAGAGTCATACTCCACTCCTGCCATACATCGATGCAAAACAGCACTTCCCCACACCCCAGAGAAATTGCAGCACCCCGACCATGCATTTGAACTTCCCCCTGATTTATGGATCAAGCAAGCTAATTATAATCCTTTTGACAAAACTGATACGTTAAAAAAAACTTTAAAGTGGGCACTGTGGAAGAAAGATGTTTGGTCCATGGAGAGGCAAACTCTGGGAGGGGAAAAGCTGCTCCTGAAGTTGTTTTAAAAGGAAACTGACTTTTTTCCAGCTGCGGTGCCATTTAATTTTGCTTACCAATCTGAGGGGGGAGCAGTGGGGGTGCAGGCATGGGCTGTGGGGCACGTCTTGCTCACCTCTGAATTAAATGCAGACTGCCATTTCAGAGAAGGGTCCTCGGATATTGTAGGGGTCGAGAGCAGATGTTTACATCCTCCTCCCAACCTTGAACCGGCAGGGAATTGCTGGTGGTGCGCACAGAAGTGAGGCTGAAGTGCCCCCACTGCAGAGTTCCTCCCTCATAAACGGCCGTCCTGACGCAGTTGGCAAAAGCCTCGTTGAAATGTGCTCGCATGTGCTGCTCAGGCAGTGGCAGGGCCTGTTAGTTTTAGGATTCCAGTCCCTAAAAACTGAAATCTCAATCATGGTGCGTAGATTCTAGGGCAGACGCCAAATGGGCTCCCGTTTCCTTGCCCAAATTGTGATGAGGGCATTTCAGCTGTTTTTTTTTTTTTTTTTTGGTGGGGAGGGGTAGATTTGGTGAGGTGAATGTGCATAAAACCTACCAGCATTTCTCCTGGTCCCATGGTGTTGTTGGATGTGGTGTGAATCTCTCACAATGACTGCAGAACCATTCTGAGGGGCGTTCTGGGAGAAAAATGGTGGTCCCTTCCCCAGCCATACCTCAGTGCTCTTGAGAGTGATGTTGCGGTGTGTGTGTGTGTGTGTGGGGGGGGGTGTTACTGATGCATGCATGCATGCATGCACCGTACCCTTGCAGTTTTCCCCTCCCCTGAAATGAAACACCCCTTCACCACCTCTTTCACTCCCCCCCCCCCCACATTCAGGACCGAATTTCTGATGGGTATGTGCCCACCTGAGCACTCTTTTTAAAGCAGAGTCCTGAGAAGGTAACCTAAGAGGTGAACTTAGGCCTACACAAGGTGGTATGAAAAGGGCTGGGGAACGTGTCCATAGGGCCTGACCCCAGCCTCTGATCTGGGTTTGACACCCCTATGTGAGCGGTCCTTCTCGATGGACCATCCTAGACAAAGTGAGCGAAATATACAGAGAAGCCCCTTCCAGCCCTCCCTCGAAGATCCCGGAGGATGCAGGGTGGAACCTGGGCATCAGCTGCTGGTGGGTTTCAGTCACGCGACCTGATGTGTTTATTCTCCTGGATGCATTCCCACAACTAACTAACACCGGTTGTTAGTTACATGTGCTCCCACCCTGCTGATCCTCTCCAGACTATGTCACTAATGAGGGAGGCGGCAGTGGGGGGGGGGGCAATTCAGGCACAAAAACACCAGCCTGTTGCTGTGCCGATTGGCATCATCCTAGCAAGGACGAGCCTGGAGCTCGTGGCTCTTGTCCCAGTTAGGCTCTGCGGGAGCTGCAGGACTAGTCCTCGCCTCATGGGGCTGGGCTGCTTCTTCTCTGCTGAGGCTAACTAGCCACTTCTGGTCACTGTCCACCGCGCCCGTTAGCCAGACTGTCCGCCTGCTCCTTCGTCAGGATGGCGGCCTGCCCAGCAGCACGCAAGCCAGTGGCTCTTGTCTTCCGTTCAAAGCAAATTCTTAATTATCCATCTCTAAGCCCCCATCCTGTAAATAAAGGATCTGTATTCCAGACAGCTGCTGACTTGGCCAGCCGGCGGAAACTGAAATAGGACCATCCCGAGCAAAGGCCTCGCAAGAAAGCTCCACGGAGGGGAAGTGGTCAGCAGGCATGGGGGAGAACGGCGATCACACTGAAAAGGCATTTTTTAAAGAGAAGGAAAGCAATGGTACAGAAAAGGGCATTGCCACGACAACCAGGCAGTGCTCCTTGCGTTTGAAAATCTTGTCAATTCCCTTTTAAATACTTCTTGGCTGCCGTTCCAATAACCACTTAAACAAGGGTACCATAAGCTTTAACTCCCACCAGCTTCAGAGCTTTCATTTGGCTTTGATGTCTTGAATGACACTTTTCTGGAGACTGCCCCAGGGTCGGGCGTGTGTGTATGCATGTGTGTGTGCAGAAACAAGAACAATGCATTTCTAGACTTCAGTCCACTTTAAATTAAAGTGGGAAGGGCTCTGCTCTCTCTATTGCTTTAGTCAATTTCCACCTGTTCCAACAGTATCCTGGTGTGAGGGAGCCTGGGACATTGAGTTTTCCTAAGACTCCCAATGTCTTTAATAGGAAGCCTTGGGACATGTAGATTCAAGGAGATATTATGCTGAAATTTATTCCTTTTAAACATTTGCATGGCACCCAGTTGTGCCACAACACCTCTGGGCAGCTCACAACCATGCGATAAAAGCACTCAGACACCTGGGAAGAACTAGGTTTCCCCGGAGCTTTGATGCCTGGGTCATTGCCTCAACACTAACCTATGCTTGGTCTAGGAAAGAAGATTGAGAGAGATCCCCTCTCTGAAGTCCCACCAGATAACATGAGGAAGGCAGGGAAGCTTAGAAGATCACAGGGCCACATTTCCACACGAATTTAGAACTCTTGAGGGGGAAAACTTATCTAATGCCACTCCTAATTGCCGAGCAGATCACAAATTTCACAGCAGTCCCATGGATTCACCCCTCACTAATGGTAAACTTCTCAAACATTGGGGGGAATATTGTGCGAGACTTTCTGAAAATGTTTTCCCTCTGAAGCAGAGAAAGTCACCCATGTTCACCCAGATTTGAGTGGCACCAAGATTTTGCTAATATTTACCATCTTGGAACAAGTCTGCCCTCAAATATTATGTGTACTTCTTGGTTTGTGTGGACGGTGGGTGGGTGGATGGAGAGGCTACACTAGGAGAAGCCATGCAAAACAATAAAAAAGGAAATACAGCTAACCTTTAAAACCTTGTTTTAAAAGACAAGCTTAAGGAGATTGAATTCTGAATAATTACTGTATTCAATTTATGTTCCGCCTCACTAGCCATAGGCTGTCTTGGTTTACATCAATATTGGTGTGTGTGTGTGTGTGTGTGTGTGTGTGTGTGTTTTAGTTCATTTGTTCTAGGGAAAGGCACTGAGTTTGATAATGTGGTAGAACTTTGTTTCAGTTCTGTGGTGGTTCTTCCATATGCCTGCAGTTTCTGTTGGAATGTATAGCTTCTCTACAAAATTATGCTAGTTTTATTTCAGCCAGACTTCCACAAATCACCTCAAAGAATCCCAGAACTTGCAGCTTCTTGAGGGCGTTGTTGGGGATTCTGTGTTGGGAATCACAGAACCATGAATCGTAGAGTTGGAAGGGGCCTGTAAATCCATCGAGTCCAACCCACTGCTCAGAGCAGTAACTACCTTTCTCTTGCAAAACTAGGCTGGGACATGAGGATGGGAGCAGTTTAAGGTTGTAATCTTTTGCATGTTTACCTGGGAGTAAGTTCCATCAAACACAGTGGGGCATCCATAGGACTGCCCTGTAGGAATCAAGTGTGTTTTGTGTTACTTGTGTAGTATATAACTGAGGATGATCTTTAATGCTGCCCCGGATTAAGAGCACATGGCCCTGATTCAGATCAGGACCATTGTGCAGCCAGGAAATTAAACCTTCCTTCCAACCATTTCTCTCTTTGCTCATGGGGATTACAAACGAAAGGCATATCAATGGATGTCATTGGA